CTCTTTCTCCCAGCTCTTTTTTAGAGCAGGGCGATCATAGAAATAGAAAACAAATTTATTTTTCTTAAGCTAAAAGGAGAAAACAAAAAAGCCAGAGTTTTGTTATACTATGCATTTTTTTTTTTGGTAACCTAAAATTAGAAAGTAAATTCCATTTCTTATCTGTTTTTACTTTCCATGACCAAGGAAAGCTAAGAGCAGACGATGGAGTTTAGGACCAAACATCTGAAGGATGAGTTCTTTTTTTTTTTTTTTTTTCTTTCTCCCCTATAGCATGAAGGAATTTGCCTGAGGTGATATCTAAATTGTTGTTATGTTTTGAGATTTGGGGACTTTTGTGACGTTTAGTTATGTTCAAAAGGTTAAAGTGGGAACTTCTGTGTGGATGCGATGGGAACTTTCCTAGGAAAAGTCTTGAGTTTTTTTCTGGCCAGCCAACAATCCTAAACCTAGTTAGTTGTAACTTTCTCAAATAAAGGGCTGGAAGGGAGGTATGTCCTTCTCTGTCCTGTCTTTTGCCACGCCTAGTCGGCAGTTAACCCAGTGCAGACACACCTCTTAGAAAGTCTGATTAGAAAGTCCTAGGACCTTGAAGGTGAGCTGAAGTTAACCTCTTGAAAATCTGGGCTTGCATGGGGCGGCCAGCCGGTGTGCGAAGCTCTCTGTGAAGGGCTTTCCTGTTACACCTGCGGGGCCAACTGTGCCAATGTGTGGGAGGAGGTGGACACGAGAGTGAGGCACCCTGTTCTGGACTGTTCCGAGAGGTTCAGGCCTTCACAAACGCGGCTTTGATTCTATTTTTTGCTGAACTAGCTGGGCCATTTCCTGTGCCGCTTCACTGCGGGCCACTTGAGCCCCCGGAGCGGAGGTTGCCAGGGCATACAGGCACCATGGCCACCAGGAGGATTATTTTCAGCACCCCCTTACAATGAATGCCCTTCTCATTTCTAGGGCGAAAACGAGCAAGTTAGTCTTGCCTCGGCCACTTGTCAGCCTGATGACAACTTTGACTTTGACTTGGGTGCCCCTCCCCCTCCCCAAATCCCCAGCTCAGCAAATATTTGAACCTGCCCAAGTTAATCATGAAGCCGCGATCTTTATCTGAGAGAGACGTGCGAACGCCCGCCGGGGCTCCTTTCTTCCCCGGAGCAGTAGCGCGACCCAGGGGGGCTCTGCTCGCTGAGCTGGGGACGTGCTG